AAAAGGCTGGTAAGTCACTCAGAATTTCTGAATTACTCAATCGAGGACACATAATGCTGTCATCTGGCTCCATTGTCTTTTCATAATCCAAAAATAATTCATCAGATGTCGCAGGATGAACGGACAATACAGGGGATACCTGACAACAAACTGAGCCTGAACGGCCATAAAAAGGTTTAAGTAAGTTAACATGACATACTTGAGTTTTTGTCCTTCTTTCTGGTGTCGCAATAACATAATTTTCATCCGACTCTTTACGGTGAATCACATACGGGCCAGCAAATCTAGCTTTAAATGGAGAAGTAGTCACCGGCAATAATGCCATTACCTGATCCCCGACACTAAAAGATCGGTGCTCAGTTCTACGATCGTACGCATGCTTCATTTTTAATTGTGCCTGCATTAAGTTTGCTTTAGCCAACTTAACAGCCTCAAAGAGTCGTCTTTTAAACCCGTTTACATACTCCGCTAATTTTTTCGGTGGCTCAAGAGAAATCCAATCATCCCGTAACGCAGCTAGTACCCCACGGACATTATGACCGAAAACCAGTTCATTTGGGCTATAACCAGTACTTTCATGGGTTACCTCTCTGGCAGCTAACATGAGCCAAGGTAACCCCTCCTCCCAGTCACGATCCAGTTCTGTACAATAAGCACGTAACAGGGATTTAATAGTCTGGTGGAAGCGTTCAATCGCGCCCTGACTCTGCGGATGATACGCCGTAGATATATTATGCTTAACATTAAGCTGTCGCAAAACTTCCTCAAACACTCCCGAAGTAAAATTAGTACCCCGATCTGACTGTATGATTTTAGGTATCCCAAAGACTGACATAAATTGGGAGAGCGCCTTAAGAACAGACTTCGCTGTAATTGATCGCAGTGGAAAAGCTGCCGGGTACCGTGTAACCTGACACATAACAGTCAGCAAATACTCACTACCAGACCTTGATCGACTCAAAGGACCCACACAGTCCACTATTAAATGACTGAATGGTTCAGACACCGCAGGGATAGGACGTAACGGAACAGGTTTTGGATTCTGATTTGGTTTACCTATTAGCTGGCAAACAGGACAAGTTTTAATATAGCTCGACACATCGCGTTTTAGTCGAGGCCAAAAAAAATTCCGCATTAAACGATCATACGTCTTCCTCACGCCCAAATGCCCAGACTGATCATCATGAGCGAGCTTTAACACCATCGATCTTAAAGGGGTTGGAATTACTACCTGTACGTATGGCGTCCCTATAGAGGCTTTAGCTTGTGGAGTCCATTTTCTTATCAAAACCCCTTCACACATGAAATACCCCTGGGCTGCATTAGCATCGGAGAGCACCTGTGAAAACAATTCATTCAACGTCAGATCTGCTTTTTGCTGCTTAATCAATTCATCCTGCGATACAGAAAGCAACGACGCTGGCCAAGAAACACCCCCATCTATTTGAAATGGTACCTCATTTTTCATAATACTCATCCGACTTGCTGAGCGCGTGACTGCACAAGCAGGAAAAACATCATGATAATCCAATCCACTATCCCGGTCTGCAACGGATATGGGTTTTGACGTTACAATTAATGGTGGTGCTGACTCACCCCAAACTCGTCCACCAGCCAAATTATTCCCAAGAATGACAGAAACTCCTTCCACTGGAAGGGCAGGTCTCAGCCCTAGTTCCACATCACCATGAATCAATTTAGACTGCAACGTAACCCTATGCAGTGGCACCGACATCCTAGTTAACCCAATTCCACAGATCAACATTGACTTGCCCGTAAATGATTCTTTTGAGAAAGGTAATACGGACTCCAAAATGAAAGAAGCAGATGCCCCTGTGTCCCGCAGAATTTTCACCGGCACACGCTCGCCTTCTGGAAGAGACACAAAACCATCAGAAACAAAAGGTGAAAAGTTACACTCAGAAAAGGAACTCTCCCGCATTTCGTTACTACATGGTATGAAGGAGGACTCAGATTCAACAGATCTAGCCACCGGTGCGGCTAAGAATGTAGGTTTTGGCTGGATGTAACGGCCCCGACCTTTCATCTGTAACGCAGGACACTCTTTCTTCCAATGCCCATGACCTAAACAATAATTACAGATTAAAACTGGATCGTTTTTACCAGCAATTTTCGTGTTTCCATAACGCGTGACTGTTGGTAACTCTGGACGCTGCACAAATGTAGGTTTCTCTTTAAGACAACCCACATCACTCCCCACTCTATGAATTAAATCATACTCGTCTGCTAATGCTGCTGCCTCTGCTATTGACAAAACATTACGTTCTGCAATAAATATAGCAATTTGATTTGGCAGTATGTTCTTAAACTGCTCCAAAACAACCAATTCCACCAGATCCTTAAACAATTTGACAGAGGCAGAATTACACCAGCGTGTAAAACACAATTGCAGTTCACGTGCTACTTCTACATATGACTGGGTAAAGTTCTTTCTTAAACCACGGAATTTTTGGCGATACGCTTCTGGAACCAATTCGTATGCCTTCAAAACGGCCTTTTTAACTTTATCATAATTTTGACTATCGGCCAAACTCAAAGCAGAATAAGCTTTCTGTGCTTTACCCGTCAAAACACACTGTAACATTAACGATCGTTCGGCCTCCGGCCAACTCTGATTGTCCGCAACTCGTTCAAATAACAAAAAAAATGTATCCACATCTTCTTCATTAAACAAAGGCATTAATCGCAAGTTTGCTGCTACATTAAAATTAACAGAAGGTAGCCCCCCCTCTGCTCCTTCACCTAAATCATCATCATTTAATCTCACTTTTCCATCCTTCATTAGATCCAAACGTTGCTGTTGAAGATCTAATTTTCTATTTTCCAAAGATTGTTGTGCCAAAATAGTTTCCTGTTCTAATTTTCGTTTCTCAATTTCCATTTTAAACTCCAATTTTCGCTGTTCTAACTGGAGAAGTACCAACTCTTTCTGTTGTTCAAAGGTAAAGGTAGTAGAGGGATACCTCGTAACCGAAACCCCTACTTCTGAAGACATAATCCCTTTCTCTATAAAAGCCATCTTTAAAACTGCCCTAACATTTTCTTTCAGTTTTTTATCATTTGTCGTAAGGACAATACCATAGTGGGCTGCAATCTCGATCAATTGGTCTTTTGTTAACAAATTAAATATTTGCTCAGAAGGATTCTCAATAAACTCACCTACTTCAATTGACGTCATAATCAGGAACAGAAGGGGCACAACGAAAGAGAAAGAAAAAAATATATATATATGTCTATATACATATACATACATACATACATATATATATATATATATATATATATATATATATACACACACATATACAAAATAAAAGAAAAAGAATAATCAATAAACCCCTTAAGTAATTTACCTCCTTGCCACACCCACTGGAGACAACAAATTTATTTGCGCCCTGTATATTAATTTCGCAACCTATAACTATACATAAATCTAACTAAGTAGACCCTAGTCTTCAAGCATACAGTGGTGGGTTTTTATGCACCAAATACCGCAGGCTGATAAAAATAACAAACTAAAAAAAAAAATTTGACATGTCCCAAGAGACATATCACTTAATCCTAACAACGAAATTAATTCACAGGGCTATTTGAAATGTCCACCAGCTGTGCATGGAATTACACAAAATAAGTCCATTCTTTCAATACAATTGCACTCGATTCTCCCAATAATAAATCAAATTTCAGTTTTATCATAATAACCAATTAACCAAAACAAATTTAACAAAATCCAAAACAATAACAAAAATTATACAAACAATACCAAATTTAACCAGTCTAAGAAAAATGTTTTAGACGAGCCCCCATTTGTTATGACCTAAACCGGTCACCACAAATAAGGAGAAGTCGAGTACAATTGCGGTACAAAAATATATTTATTTACTATTATCAAAGGTCATGTTGCTAGCCCATCAGGTCCAAAACCGATCCCAGCCGAAAGATAAGTGACCAGATTCCACGTGCAGCCTCTCCTCGTCTGAAACAAACACGCTATTTATAGCAGAGCAACTCAATCACAAACCGGTGTTCTCAATACCAGCGCAATCAGCTGGACCTGCAACACACACACACACACAGATGCACAGACCGACACCCACACCCCAGCCACAAACGACCACAAGGGGTCGTCACACAGCACTACAACATACAAAAGAGAAAGATCCACTTAGAATATCATTTACCTGTTTAATAATGATTTGATCAACTGTAGTTTAAAAAACACTGTTTTTAATCCTCCAAGGGCTTATTTTGCTGTCTCTGTCGCCATCTTGCAGATGAACAACATCGACCGTCTTTGCTCTGCTCAAAGACAGGCTAATAGCCCCTGACGTGCTGTCTCATAAAAATTATTAATATTTAAAATAGGCACTATCCTTATAAACAAACTGCATAGTTGCAATCTAAACAACTACATTCTCGACTAATAAAGCCTCAAAAGTACATTAGGTTGTCCAACAGCTGCAATATTTGTCAGAAGAGTGTGCTCTGCTTGTCGGTTTATTTGGGCGGAAAACACAAGAGTTAAGTGGCTGGACGAGTGCTGTTGGTGGCAGAATGGCACACGGTTATCAGCCAGTCATATTCAAAAAACCAGACAGAACTGTTGTGTATATACTAAAAAACATGCACATCTAAATGACTTAAATAAAAACAACATTTATTAACATTTTAAAATACACTTTATTTTATATCTTCATGTTCAATTAAGTTGTACTAACTTTGTCATGTGGTCATGTTGTTTTCTTCTTTTTTTTTCTTTTTAATATATATAGTACATATAGTTTATATATATATATATATATATATATATATATATATATATATATATATATATATATATATATATTAGTGTTTATGTTGTAATTTAGCTTTATTAATGAAAATAAGTGTAAAAGTTTCTGTTTATGTAAAGATTGATCGCCCTGCTAATGTGCACAAATATGAATATGTAAGTTGTTTGTTTTCTCTATTTTGTCTAGTTAATTCAAAATGATATGACGAGGAACGCTTATGGAGATTGGCCAGAGATGGGGGAAATCGTTGGCTGCTTTCCCAGGATAACTGAGACTGAATGACTGAATTTCAGATCACCACGTTTGGGACATTTCAGAAATGGGACATCAACAAGTCTTGTGTGCTCTCTTCCCTCCCTGAGCAAATAAAATGGAAGGAACTTTTTACTGTAGCACAAATATGGAACATATAAAGGGAAACAAAATTAGCATCTTTCTGCTGCTTGTTTCCAAACATTTTGGAAATTTTCAAAACAGTTTGATGTTATAAACCACACATTCAAAAGATAATGACAGAGACATTTCTTTTCCCATACTGAATTTACTTCTACAGTATATGAAGGTAACAATGACCATGTTTACATGCAAACCAATATGCAGATATAACTGGTGAAAAGTCTGCTCATTGAAGTAAGCTGTTGTCCTGGATTTCACATAAACCAGTAGCCGGTTAACAACGTTTTTTTTTAATAAACCAGTTTGTTAGTGGCATCAAAATATAAGAATTTGCATACTTAACTGTTCTGTTGTTTTTCATTTTAAATATTAGTAGTTCCACCAAAAATGGATATTCTGTTATTAATTACTCATGTTGTTTCAATTCCCTAAGACTTTCGTTCATTTTTGTAACACAAATGAAGATATTTTGGGAAAAATCCAGGAGCTCTCTTATCCTCCAAATACAGAAATAGTCCTGAGATGTTCAAAGTAGGGCTGGACGATTAATCAAATGCGATTTTCATGCACATTTTGTCAGTAAAGCCTGTTCCAGTAAACCTCCAGCATGTGCTTTTGATGGTGCAGAGTTTACTACAGGTCTCGTAGTACACTGGTAAGCTATACAAAGACTGGATTTAATATTATATGTGATTTAATCAGTTAATAATGACATAGAGATAATCATTCTGTGATAATAGCAACTGTTTGCGAAGCAGTGAACTATGGCTCTAGTAAATGCTTCATTGTGTTTTATTATTGTCTACCCTAATCCCAAACCCTCACACTAACCTAAAAATAGTAAGTATTGTTCTAGAGTGTCACAAAAAAGTATGCTATATTGATGTGCACGTGCCCAACTCGTGCAATGCTGTATCCTTTTTAGACTTCTGCCATTTCCCTATTAGTACATTTGTAGGAGTTTGGGTTTTTTTGAGAGCGCACGCTGGCCTTCGGAGATTTGCTACAGATTACACCATTCAGTGCTTCACTGAGAATATTTGCATGACAATCAGTTTTGCTCAATCACGTTTACGATTTCAGTTCTATTACTTGCCCAGTCCTATAGTATTTCCAATTCAGAAAAGAAACCAAAAACATTGTCAGAACATTCCATGTGACTTTAGTGGTTTTACTGTAAAATAAAGCTCCAAGAACACTTGTGCCAAAAACGTCAATGTCTTCCTTTTCATTTCAGGTCAGGATGCTTGTTTACTATAGGCAAAACAATGTATTGCCACGAGAGTCTGCAGTGCAATACATAAGCATCGTATTCCCCGTAGTAAATAGGGATCCTGACATGGAAGACATAGACAAATAGTCTTTTATTGGGGGATGAACAAAAGTGTTTTTAATTAATAGCAGAGTTTTCATTTTTGGGTGAACTAACCGTTTAAAAAAAGGCCAATATATTAACTTCTCAAGCTGATTTATTTTGACTGTACAGTATAGCACTTTACAGTATGTGAACATAGCCTAGAAGTATTTAGCTCAAAGCATCTGAGTTTGCAGTTAATTTTCTCCTCTTTCTGTAAAACATTTGGTCTGTCTGGATGAGCTTGAATTCGCAATATGGATGTTCACACCTGCAAGTTGATGCATTTACTTGCTGGGCGCAATTGGTATAAGAGTCATAAAAAACCATGTTGTTTGTTTATGCTTAAGCTGTTGACCTTACTCCAGTAAAGAAAACCACATTAGCATAACCATGTGCGTTGTCTGCTTATGAAGCATAATAGGGTTAAGAACGTGTCTGTAAACGCACTCACTGTTGATATTAACAATGAGGAGTGGAAAACAGGAAAGTGACCTCAGTTTTGACACAATAATCCCTCTTTTTCACTCTCCCTCCCTCTGCTGGACTGTAGTACCAGTTAGGGCACTGAATGCAGTCTGGGGATTGTGTGCGTGTTTGTGTGTGTGCGTGTGTTTTGGTTTGCTTGAAGGATGTTCATCCCCTCCAGCTTCTCCTCTTGCTCTGCAGGAAGATAGCAGGCAGAATCCAGCCGAAGTTGTGTTTTCTGGAGCAATTGGGCATTGGAATCATGGGAGTGACCCATGGAAAGAAAGTAAGGATATTTTGATTCAGTTGAAAGAACTGTCTGTGTTTTTGGTAATAATGTTATAAATCCCTATCATGTTTGGAGAAGACTTGGAAGTGTTGCAAAAATGTATGATTTTTAGTGTCTAGATAGACTTGAATTTGTGAAATGTAAAGTGTGAGAGTGTTTCTACTGTTCAGGATTTTGTGCTAATGAATTTTCAACAATGTTTGAGCGTGATATATTTAATCGAAGCTAAATGTGTATATGCCTGAAAGTCTGCATTTGTTTTTTGGTATTATTTTTTAAGAATATATGAAGAGTTCAGATGCAAAAACCTGTAATCTTCTTTCTTCTTAAATTAGCTTTTTTCTTAGACCCCTGTGTATAGGTTTAATAATTTTACTTTTATAGTGATAAATAACTTCTTTCATTATCTTTAAAGTAAAATAACTGAACATAAACAGGAAAATAAAAAGGAAGCTGAAAAAAAGCTCATTACAGGAGAAAATTTCAGACAGCATTTAGAGGTTTTGAACTCTTCTTATATGGATAAATATAAATTATTATAGCGGTGTTTTTTTAGTATAATTTATACAGTATTAAGTATTATTTTATTAAGAGTTTAAATTAGCTTTCTATATTAAATATTTATAGTTTTTATGTATTTAATTATTTTTTAATTTTATGTGTGCTTGACATTTATTACTACATCTAAATTAATTATTTTCTTTATATTACATTAATTACATGATATACATAATTATATTACATTATGCATTAACTATATTCAAAACAAATTATGTTCTACTTTTTAAATTGTTTTAGTATTTTTAGTTCTTCCATTCTTCTGTTAAGTAAATTGTTTCAATCTAGTTTGGCGACATATCTGAGGTTTTATTTTATCTAAAAGTATTTATTTAGCTGCAGTCTGTAACGTTAACCTAATTGTAACACTTTGATTCACTTCTGATTTGCTTTAGTCCAAGGACACCTCGTGACTTTCCCGACACAATCACATTCTAGATGGCAAACAGATTATGAAGGCAAAATGGAGAGTTTGTTTGGCAGGTCCAGTAATGAGGTGGCTAAATGCCAGCTGCTCCCAAAACCATTTTAGCCCAATATGATCAACTCAGCATGGTGTGAACACACACACACACATTCCCACAATGCCTTCCTTGTGTTAGCACAAGTTTCTCTCAACACACAGGACTATTGTCCTCTTCATCAACAGTTTTTGAGATTATTTTCCATAATTTGGATGAAAAGATAAAGATGAGATGTGTAAAATATTAGCATGAACATCAAAAAAATAATTTGAAAATATTAGCATGGTCACAAACAATTGTTAAAATACCATGGGAAATCAGTATGTAGGTAAGGCACTACAATAGTGTTTATAGCATTATCCGATAAAAAATATTCACAGTAGTGCTAAGAAATTTCAATGTTTGTTTTTTTGTAATTTTGTGATTAAATATATTGACACATATTCATTTCTCCCCCACAGGCTGATCATAATCTTCAAAGTCATAATTCCGCCTGTGCTCAACCACTTATTGGACCTGGTGAATCAGGTTTTCTGTTTCCTTAATACGTTTTGATGCAGTTACAGGGCATAGATTAACCTGAAATGCATACCATGTGGTTTTAGTGTCCTGGGACATTTACTATCATGCCGTTCATTACTTTTAAAGTTAGCATTCCTCAAATGATCCATTATAAAAAATATATAATTGTCTCATGTGTTTTCTGAGTATTTTGTTTGGTAAGAAAATTGGGTCACAGTTTACAATGTTTGTTAACACATTCATTGACTTGAATTAAGAATGAACAAAACTTGTACAACTTTTATTAATAATAGTTCAACATTTACTAATGCATTATTAACATACAAAGTTGTGCTTGTTAACATAGTTATATTATCAGTTAACATGTGAACGACTTAATTGTCTTCAACTAATTTTAAAACAAAGATGAATAAATATTGAAAGGTTTTGTCAGTTGCTTTTTTATGTTGGTTAATGCATTAACTAACAATAATAAAGCTAAAGCTTATTGTGAAGTGTATAGACCATTAACAACAGGGGATTTAATCATAACTCTAATGTTACAGCAGATAACATTATTTATCAATATGTGGCTCTCTTTTTTATTCTTGGAAGCTGTACAAATTAAAAATGTAAAACAGGAAATACTTAGTACTATTGTTTTTGTTTACATCCCTCAAAATGGTTTATAGGACCACTTGTGTCCCATTTATGTGTAGTGTAATTTATGAAGTAAACTTGAAATGGCTTTATAGCAGAAAATTAATGTAAACAATCAAATTTAAGTGTCCCTGACAATTGGTGGTTCTGATGTCAGCATTCTTTCATTCACTTAACTCGTTGAAATGAATAATAACTAATGTCTCTTAAAGTTATTTGAGATTCATCTAGGCATAATTAATATGTTTTGTTATATATTATGTTGCTGGTCAGTTTGACTCAAATGCTAAATTTAATTCTTATTTTTAAAACTTTAATTTTATTTTAATGTATAAACAAATGTGTAAATGTCCTTTTGATTTTACTGTGTTTTTGTCCATATAAAATCAGTCAACAATTTTCTCTACAAGATGTTCACATATTTACAATTTAAATAGGCACATTACAAATCTTTATAGGGCCCATTTAGTGGATTAAACATAGTATAATAAAAACCACTGCTTTATTATTATTGTTATTATTTTTTTAATTATTATTATTATTATTATATTAGATAAATATTACAGTTAAAGGCTAAAGTCATGTGAGATGTCCTATTATTCTTCTAAACCAGTTAACTTGTCTGATGAACTGTACAGTTATTCTTACACTCTTAACTTCTTCTTTTTTTTTACATTTAATGTAGAATGGTCTCTTTTGCTTCTCTTCCCCCGTTAGATTTAGTCTCTGATCTTGGATCTCTAATAGACCCTGATCAGAGGTGGGCAAGAGAAGAGGATTTAGACCACAGCAAGTTGCTTCCTGAGCACACGGACTATGAAGAGCTCATAAGGCCCAAAAAGCTCCACAATCCCATCAAAGCGTCCAAGAGCCACCGGGAGCTCCAGCGAGAGCTGATTATTACACACAAAAGGTGCAAACTGACCCAGAATTTGAGTTGAAAGCATGTTCACATTCTGAGGCATGAACAGAAGCTTAGTTTCAGCGGTATCACCTGACCCAATTCCTAATCTCTCTTCTTCACACATGCATTGCACTGGGATAGAGTTCTGTCCAACAGATGGCAGTAAAGGCAAATGTATGCATGCAGTTTATATAGTGTTCCTTCTTGTGGATACTCTTTAAAAAAAATCAAAATATAACTGAATAGATGATTGCTAGATGTGCCAGCTAGTATCACGTAACCACTGCAGATTGATGGGGCAGGGTGTCCGCGGAGTCTTAAAAAGTCTTACATTTGAAAAAACACATATTTAGGACTTGAATTCACTGAAACATTGTCTTGTAGGTCTTAAATAATTTTAAACAGGTCTTAATTTTCCTTTGTTTATACCTTTCCCGGTACATTGTTGTAGCTGGAAGGACATCCGCCGTGTAAAACATATGCTGGAACAGTTGCCGGTTCATTCCGCTGTGGCAATCTCTGATAAATCAGTGACTAAGCTGAAGGAAAATGAATGAATGAATCGATTCAACACACCACCAACAATACATCTCAATAAAAATTTTAGCCAAATTATATTCATAAGTGATATTATAAGAATCTCAGTGCAGACATTTAGTTTTTAAAGAGTTGTATACAGCTAGGGTTTTTGTTTTGACAGATTGCTTAAACTATATAAGAAAAATATTAAATAACTAATTGGAATTAGTTTTTTAATTGGGCAAGTACATATTTTTCCTGCTTGGTTATAAAAATATCCTTAGCATTTAGTCATATAAGTCTGGTCCTAAAAAGGTCTTAAAAAGTCTTAAATTTGACTTGATGAAACCTGCAGAAAACATAAAGATTAAACTTTGCTGTTAATTTACTCTTTATCAAGACATCTAAGATTTACAGTAGTTAATTTATGTTTTTCTTATAGAATATTAAAGGTGATTCATATAATGCAGGAAGACCTTTATAATGGCAGTTGAATATATAAGCAAAACTTCATACCTGCACCATTGAGGTCTTATAAAGTGAAAGAAACTGAATGTTATTTACAACATTACTACTATCACCTTCAATCTACAGCTCCTACAAACCCAGTCTCAGTCACAAGATTTGCTATCAACATTATTGGAATGAAGCTTAAGGTGCATTCACATCATGTCTGAAATGCATTCACATTGTTCATGCCCTCTTAGAACTTTCTGTTGCAACCTATGAACCTAAATCTTACGAGAATGTCAACTTGCATCATGTGATCCCAGCAGGCTCATTTTGCTGTTGTTTTTTCATAGAACTGCATAATGCTGATCTTTAACTAGAATGGGCTGTCTTGCAGTTACTGCGACTGGTGTAAAAATCAACATTATTTTTTGTCATATATTTTGTCATTTTAATTAGAATTTAATAGTTTCATTAACTGAATAGAGGTCAATAATTGACCCAGCTATTAAATGTTCATTAAATAACAGTTGCAGTATTTTTGCATGTACTTAACATTCAGCCTTCACATACTGGATAACCTTTCTATTCAGTTGCATTAAATGGCTTTCTATATAAAATGTATAATAACCCTTTTACTTGTCTATCAGAGGAGTGGTGGTGGAGGAGAAGCCGGAGTTACAGAGAGTTCTGGAACAGAGGAACAGAGCTCAAGCTCTGAAACAAGAGCAAAAACAAGAAGAGGAGAAATCACCCTTGGAGCAGGAGTTACTGAAGAGACAGATGAGGTTAGAGAAGGTAAAACCTAAAATTGCATCCCTTGAACTATGTTAAGCAATGACCAAATCAGTACCTTATAGACAATATTGTTTGATTTATGCTAATAAGGCCTTTAAATCCTGGGAAGCCATCCAAATGACCTGGGGTAATTTTCTAAACCCCAAATACAATGATAAACTACTGTCAATCACTTATGAGTGAAAATGCCTAATAAAAACTAAGACAAGCTAAAGCAACTCAACTCACTTTATTTCTATAGCACTTTCACAAATCACAATGGATTACCAAAGTGCTGTACATAAAATCAAATAAAAAAGCATGTAAAATATACATAAAACCAAAATACATAAACTCATATCACATGATTAAAAGCTAAAGAAAATAAGTGTGTTTTCAGTGACCTCTGAAAAGACTCAAAAGTTTGAGCTGTTCTTACTGAGAGTGGGAGATCGTTCCAGAGTCTTGGAGCTGCTACCGAGAAAGCTCTATCACCTCGACGTTTTAAGCGTGATCTAGGAACTTGCAAATAGAGACGACTCTTCAACACTCTTCGGGCAGGATCAGCTCGTTTTAACCCCTTCAGACCCTGCGTCCATTACAATGGACATCACATGACATCCCATTTTTCTGAAATTTGAAACATAATTCACGTCTGAAGGGGTTAATGTGGTTACCCAACACATCCTTCTGTCAAATCTAATAATATTTTTAATCTAGGAACTGCACTCCAGTGGGACAAGTTTAACCTCAGGTTGATGCATTAGGGCAGGGTTCAACAACCCTGTTCTTGAAAAAAAGCTACCTTCCTGTAGAATTCAGCTCCAACCCTCTTCTAACACATCTGAACTAATTAATTAGGATCTAAAGCAGCACTTGATAATTAGAGACAGGTGTGTTTGGTCAGGGTTGCAACTGAAATTTGCAGGAAGTTAGCTCTCCGGGAACAGGGTTGGTGACCCCTGCGTTAGGGGCTGTCTTGGTGTGAGGTGTCCAAGTTGCAATATCTAGCTACTGGAATGCTTCAGGGCTCGGTTCTAGGACCACGTCTTTTCACTATCCACATCCGGGATTAGCAAATTTTAGGCAAAAGGGCCACTGTCCGGCAGAGTTTAGCTCCCTATTCAAACACACTTGCCTGTAGCTCTCTAGTAATCTTGAAGACAGTGATTAGCATTCTGGTCTGATAATTTGACGATAGCTGCTCACATCTCAACAGATGTGTTATGTTTTCAGCCAACCCAAGACTTTGTCACAATCAAAAATTCTTGCACATTATTTGAGCCATCTGGTTTTTCAGATTTGCCTTACAATTTAGGACGATTAGGCCATTCCTATAGACCCTTTTTACATTTCTGTTTTTTTTTAGCAGAGGAACTTTATATAGTTGTGTACACTTACAGAGCAGTAAATTGGAAAGTACCACAAGTACAGCATTTAACATTCCAATTTGCTCAACTAACGGAAGGAAAAACACAAAGAAAGTGTTTTCACGACTTGCAAAAAAAAAGGTGTAAAAATAATGGCAGCAGGCAACGTGGTGGCGCAGTAGGTAGTGCTATCGCCTAACAGCAAGAAGGTCACTGGTTTGAGCCTCAGCTGGGTCAGTTGGCATTTCTGTGTGTAGTTTGTATGTTTTTCCCACGTTTGTGTTGGTTTCCTCTGGGTGCTCCGGTTTCCCCACAGTCCAAAGACATGCTGTACAGGTGAATTGGGTTTGCTAAATTGTCCATAGTGTATGAGTGTGAATGAGTGTGTATGGATGTTTCCCAGAGATGGGTTGCAGCTGGAAGGGAATCCGCTGCGTGAAACACATTCTGGATAAGTTGGCGGTTCATTCCACTATGGCAACTCCAGATTAATAAAGGGGCTAAGCCGAAAAGAAAATGAATGAATGAATAAATGAATAATGGCAGCAGCCAGAAGAGAGAATAATTTCACATTTGGGATGCACCGAATTTTCGGCCACCAACATTTTTTGGTCGAAAATGGCTTAAAAGAGCAGTTTTGATTTTCAGTTTTGAAGAATAAGTCCCCATCCCCAGAAGTGATAACCCATTTTAACCTATTTCAATAATTTGTAATTAATTTATTCTTTGAAACTTTTTAATATTCATTTTTGAATTGCAATGCAACTTTAGTGAGGTTAGTAACACAGTCATAGCCATGAATCCAATTGTACAGGGCATCCAGAAAGTATTCACAGTGGCTAGTATTCAGATGGAAATTATGAATGGAGTAGCTTCAGAACAGTTCGGTGAATGTCCTTGAGTGGCCCAGCCAGAGCATAGATTCCAATCCTATTGAACATATCTGATTTCACAGATCTGAAAATGGCTGTACACGGTTGCTTCCCATCCGACCTGATAGAGCTTGAGAGGTACTGCAAAGAGGAATTAGCAAAAATTCCCAAAGACCAGTGTGCCAAGCTTGTGGCACCATATTCAAGAAGACTTGAGGCAGTAATTGCTGCCAAAGGTACATCAACAAAGTACTGAGAAAAGGCTGTGGATACTTCTGTACATGTGATTTTTCAGGGTTTTATTATTAATTAATTTGCAACAATTTCAAAAACTCTTTTTTTCACATTGTCATTATGTGATATTGTGTGTAGAATTTGGCGAAAATAAATTAATTTAATCCATTTTGGAATAAGGCTGTAACAAAAATGTGGAAAAAGTGAAGCGCTATGAATACTTTCCCAATGCACTGTACTAATTATTGGCATAATTTATTTCAGTTTTTCGTTTTTTGGCCCTGGTTTTCCCTTTTTTTTTTTTTTTTTTCAGTTTTCGGATTCGGTCAAGAATTTTCGTTTCAGTGCAACCCTATTTCACATTTATTCTCCTGCTTATTGACCTGCAAAACGGAAAAAAAACTTGCATAAGCGATGACTAGTATTTTGTACTTTGATACAAATTTGCAAAGTATAGTTTATATATGTACAAAAGCTTTAAAAAATCTAAATATTAAAAACCTTGAAGAATTTAACATGACAGTTGCAGTGTATCAACACCTTCTTATGAAAAGAGTCCATAGCGGAACATGCTACACAACTCCTTGTTTGAGTTCTATCCAGGCTGGACTATTGCAATTTTCTCAAAATCACTTTCAAGGACTTTCACATTTACTGTTTCATGCAGGTGAATAACTGAGAGGGTGCTCGTTGCAGAGCCATTTGAGGAGAGCTGAGCTCCAGCGAGAGGGAGCATGAGCTGTCGCTCCTCCTCTTGTAAGCTGTTTTAATGCGTACACCAACCCCACCCCTAACCCTACCCCCAGTGACATCACTCGTAGAAGAAGTGCAAAAAAGGTGGAGCTCAAGCTTAAGCTCCCCCTCGCTGGAGCTCACCTCTCCTCAAATGGCTCTGCAGCGAGCACCACTTGGAATAACTTGCTTTGATTACCCTTGTTTCTAAGTCAACATGGAAAAAAACAAAAGCTAAATAACTGAATGTAACCTTAACAACCTTTCTTAACCTTGTTCTCCCCAGTTTGAGAAAGAGGCTGAAGAGCAGAGGGAGAGGTTAAAGTGCGCTCCCGAGTTCATTAGAGTCAAGGAGAGTCTGAAGAGGACAGCGATCACGAGTGCTGCGGAGAAAGAGCTGTAATCACACGTCAGCAACAGCCACAGATTTGCAGCTGCAATCAAATTTATTCAGCCACATTTACATGCAAGACATTCTGCTGCTGTGAACAAAAAGGTATGAAAACAGTTCAACCAAGGCATTGGTAAACTATTATAGAAGGGTTATTGATGCATATCTAACTGACTCTAAGGACAAAAGGCTTATGTGCAAAAAGGAACATCCTTAAATATTTATATTCCAATAAAGCCTCTTAAGAAGTGCTGACAAGCATGTCACATCTCTACTGGCACATCTCTACTCAGAAAAAGGGGTTGAATAATTTTGATTTGATTTTCCTGCTGAAAACTTCATTTAGTTTCAAAAGCTTAGAGTTTGGGTTTTTAATGAAATCAGGGAATATGAGAACACTATGTTGAGGACAGGAATGTTGAAATGTGGGTTTAAGCATGTGATGAGCCTTTTTGTAATAAGATTCCATGTACCGCACCTTATTTTGCACACAAAAGTTCAGAATATCTCCAAATATACTGTAACTGTCTAGATGAATAGAATTTTATGGTCTATATTTATATGTTATATAATTTTAGGCATTTTAATGGTGTGTGCCTAACAAAACCCTGAGAGGGATAATATAATCCCATAGACACAATTTAATGTGTACCAGATTATTCGATATCTTATGTTGTGTAAATGTTTCTAATCATTTGAATTGTTCAAATTAGGGATGCTCCGATCGATCGGCCGAAAATCGGTATCGGTCGATAATCACGTTTAATGACTCGATCGGTACTCGCCAATCTGCCCAATCTCATGAACCAATCGCAGGGGTTTGTTTATGAGTAGCAGTGTGTATGTTTGTATGTGCAGCTACCATATATTGTGCATAGCCCACAGCAGACACAACATGTGGGGAGGTAAATGATGCGTGGAGGCATCAGCGATCGATGCGCTTGCGTCACAACAGCTAAAATACAGATGCAGTGCAAGTTTTTTTACAGTCTATTGGCGAGACTCATGTGAGTGAAGGGTTTTTTTTAACAGCTGTGACATGAACGGAGCAATCGCTAAATTTCCCTTTTTAGTAAAAAAAGTCATGGATTTTTTTAGGTGTGCATTTTAACTTCTTATGCATCAAATATGCGCTCTTAACTTGTTCATGATTGAGGCATGTTGAATTCTTCTTTCAGTCTTTTTCTTCTTGCATTGTTTGTCATTTTTCTTACCAATTTGTTTATGCGTGTTATTATTTCTGTAAAGTTGCTTCTGGCCATGACATGTTCACACTTAAATAGTTAAAAGAGATGTGTTTAAGGTATTATATGCAGCATCCTTAATTTATTTTCTTAAGTAAGGCGAGATCTCCACTTAAGTATCATACTTGGAGGGAAAATGTGCTTAATGCATTATAAAGCATTCGAATCGGTGCTCTGTATCGGCCGATCACCATGACAAAGAATCGGTACTCGATATCAGCTGTGAAAATCCTGATCGGAGCATCCCTAGTTTAAGTACACTTTCTAGTGTTAGGCTTGATTTTCTGTTTCTAGCATGATAAATTAATTGAATAAATTAGCATGTCTATCTTTTGGTTTATTTTATCAGATTAGGAAAAAAAAATACAAAATTGGATTCAAATTGTAAAGTAACAATCAGTATCATTGCATAATGCATTTTTTTTATTAACATATATTGTTTCTCACCATTATCTTCTTTAAAATTGACCTATTTATATTTCTTTACATGGGTGACTTTTCACATGCAAGCCTTTCCACTGATCATAAATCACAAATCTCATGTGTATGTTTTGGCTAACAACACAAAACCTATTTTTTTGTAATCACATTTTGTAATAGTCTTCCAATAAAGGGATGTTTGAGATGTTTGGAGTGTATTATCTGAAAGTAGCAACCACGGTCTGCCTTTGCATAGCACTCTGATGTGAACTTTATTTGCACTGTACACAAAGATTTTACTGAACACACAATGCATAGACAAGAAGTGTTTATTCATAGCGTGCTACTACCTGTATATCTTTAAGGGTACAAATCATTGGCTCGTCATAACTCCATCGATAACACGTGATGCATTGCATCCATACAATTGTTGCTTTTACAAAAAAAGACATACAATATATGCATACATCGTCTTAATGTATAATACACATACTGTATATGTGTTTTCTCTTCCTGTGTGCACATCCATGTAGAAATAAATAAATGAAATAAAAAGTCAGAATTGAGTAAGGGAGGAATTAATTACCCAAAAACCAGGGTGCAACTTTATGTAGTACTTTTTGAAGCCAAAGTATTTAATAGATGACTTCCAAATGATGTTTAATCAGCCCTTCTGAGGCAGTTTGCATAATTACAATAATGAACGGATTACTGAACTGCTCATTAGACTTGCATGTTTATACTAATCAAATCAATGATTGCACTTAGGCTGAAAGCAGTTCTAAATCTGCATGTTTTTAATTATATATTATAGACTGTATATACCTAATATTTAATATTTTTACAGAAGTATAGGAAATATTACATTTAATCAAATAAGGGTTCATAGCAAAACAAATGCATTGTTGTTTTTATTATTATTGTTGGCTTCAAGTAAGTCATGTGCTCAAATTGGCACAGATATGATATCTATATATACACATATACTGATGAACAAGGTGATAAATGTTCTTGCATTGTCTTTTTTTTCTTTCAATCCAGTTTGAAAGTAAGGCCAGTATTGAGTTTTTACAATAACAATAATATTAATAAATTCATTTTTTTTGTTGTTGTTGTTTTAAAACACGCATATTCCACAAAGAAACAGATTAAGTGTCAAAATATCTTGTGCCTCCCAATTCACAACGACATAAGACAGCAATAGCCTGTCTTTTTTCAGTTAGCATAGTGGTAAAGATATGAATATGTTTATAAATATTTAGTAGTTTGTTCATCGCTCTTGTAAACATACTTTTTTTACGAGGTCATGCAAACATTAGACGTCTTCTGCACAGGAAAACAGTACAGATCATGGCCAGCGACCCAAAATAAAGAATCTGAAGCAATGAACTGATCGGCTCACACAACACACACCAGAAAAAAGCAGATTATCATGGGGAAATAAATCATTTTTAGTTGCTAAAAGAAATCAATGTTGTGACAAAGAATAGTTATTAATCAACCTCTGTTCCAAAACCTTTTGAGGGTTGATTAACAAAGAGCATCCTTTTTTTGTTTGTTATTCGTGCAGTTTTACAAATGGTTTCTTGACATTGTTTAATGTACACTGCACAAGACTCAAGTGCAACTGTGTATGGAAGGCTTTCAGGGACAATAGTCTTTATATAAAACAAGAAATTTGATTCCATCAGCATTACCCAGTGAAATCACTGTATATGAGAAGTTTTCAGAATAAGGGAATGTTTTCATATTTCCTACAGTTACATTTCCTATGTTACAGCAAGACGTACACATTTAGAAATGTGATGTTGGTATTATTAACTGTTGCCTTTGTCTGTGACATTTTTGCAATTTCACGCTTCGAATGACTTCCATACTAGTCCAGCATGTCGGTCTAATGTGATTACATAGAAAAATCATGAAAAAGTAGTGCAGCACAGTGAAAAAATGTGTTCTCTGTGAGTGGCCAATTAAATAGCTGTATTTGAGGAGCTTTCAGAACGGAGAGATGTTTTCATAGTTCCTAGAACTATTGGGGGTGGGGGGGGGGGATAAGCACTTTTGGGTGTGTTTGTTCCACAGAAACTGTGAATAATTTTATTTCTAAGAATGTCATTAGGTGGAACTAAATTGGCTCCTATTTCCGAGTGGGACCTAATACATTACAATAGGAACTACTGTGATGCAAGTGTACACTGACTGGGGGAATGCATGACATATGAAATACCATCACAGTATTTTAAAGTGCTTTAAAGGTGATGTTGGTAGCTGATGTCTTGTGGTAACTTTGCATGTTTTGCATGAAATTTCACATTTTGAATAATGACTTTTGGCCCCAACTGCATTCCATACTAGTCAAACTTGCCAATCTAGAGTGATAACATAATTAGAAAATAGTGTAGTGCAGTGAAAAACATGTTCTGTGTGAATGGCCTACAATGCAGCATCTGCAATACTGTAAAAGCATAAATATAGCCCTCACAAATATTGAGTAAAATAGTCAGTATTTTTAAATACTTTTTGGTATTTAATGAAATATATTTTTGAGCATGCTCCACTGCATTATAAGACTTTTATTTATTTATTTATTTTGCTAGGGGAAAAAATTAGGGCAACTGTTTTATCAAGAAGTTCAGAGAAAATGTGAAAATAAAGCGTTCTTTTACAATTTGAGCCTGATTAATATTAGCTTTGTCATTCTTCAATATAATTGTAGAACATATCTTCCAACATGGTTGTTAAAAAAAGCTACAATTTGCATCTGTAATATATTTTTCTCTATTTATCATATTGTGTTAATTTCTCTTTTTATGTTAAAATATGTATGGATGTTTTATATGCGATTCATGTACATAACTGTTCTTTAAGGTTTTGGAACAGAGCTAGACAGCAGAGCTACTTTTGGCCTAAAACAGTCTACAACTATTAAAAGCCAAGCTTATATAGTTTTGATATGGCATTTAATCTGGGTGTGAAAATTGCATCTGGAAAGTTGTTCAAATTTCTCAACACCCTCACGTATAACCTGTTTTCTCTACATGCTTCATTTGAAGGTCGACGGAGCACAACAGACAAGTTCCGGAAGTAAAAACTCCATTCATTTTCTCCATAGAGAAGCAGATTAACTGTATCTGATAAATCGTTAAAGACAGACCTGATGTGAGCTCTGAGGATGTTAATCGGCTGTATATATTGTACATCTTTTCACATTAACATATTTTTTAAACAATTGTGTTCGATAGTATAATTCTGGTAGAAAGACTACATTACCCATGATGCTGTACATAAACTTCAATCCAATCAGAGAGTCTCAGTATATCAAATTTGCATATATTGCAATAAATTTAAAATATTGTTTCAAATGAATAATAGTATTTTAAAGTGTTTGGCCCCGACTGCCTTCCATACTAGTCAAACTTTTGACAACAAAAATTGAATCAAATATAGTTTTAATTGAATTAATAGATTATTATATCTCTTTTTGATGTTATTAGCATTGTCATTTGCAAAGCTTCATGGGATTGTAGTCATTTCCCCTCATTAAAGCTGCTGAAGGGATAGTTCACCTAAACAAATTTATTTACTTGCTGTTTATTCTCCCTCAGTTGGTTTTAAACCCTGATGATTTTCTTTCTTCTGTTGAACACAGATAATTTGAAGAAAGCTAAAAACCTGTAACCATTGACTTCCATGGTAAAATAAAAATATTATGGAAAGTCAATGATTACAGGACTTTTTGTTGTATTTGTACAGCAGGAACTGTGAATAATTGTTTTTCTAGAAATGCCATTGGGAAACTACTTCTACAGAGTAGGACCTAATACTGTACGACAGGAACTACAGTGCTGTAAGTGTACACTGACTCGAGGAATGCATGTCACACGAAACACCAGCACAGCATTTTAAAGTGTTGTAAAGCTGATGTCTGTGACTAATGTCTGCGGGTAACTTTGCATGTTTTGGATGATCAAATTTCCCATTTCAAATATATACTTTTGGCCCCGACTTGACAACAAAAATTGAATCAAATATTAATTCAATCCTATGAATAGATTTAGATATCTCTTTTTAATGTTTTCAACATTGTCATTTGCAAAGCTTCATGGGATTGTAGTCGTTTTCCCTGTTTAAAGCTGTTAAAGGGATAGGGATAAAAAATGAAATTTACTCGCTTTTTACTCTGCCTCAGTTAGTTTTAAACCTATATAAGTTTCATTCTGCTGATAAACACAAAATAAGATATTTTGAAGAAAGCTGAAAACCTGTAACCACTGACTTCCACAATAGGAAAAACAAATACTATGGAAAGCCAATGGTTACAGGTTTTCAGCTTTCTCCAAAAATCCATTATTTTGTGTTCAACAGAAGAGAGATGGAAAGATTTGGAACCACTTAAGGGTTCGTAAATAATGACAGAATTTTCATTTTTGTGTGAACTAACCCTTACCATCTCAGATTTTTATAAATTTCTTCTTAAATGTTTTGATTTTCCTCATAGCTGGGTGATTAATCTCATGCCTTATAATGCTTTTAAAAGGCCCCATGGTAAAAAAAAAAATGAATGTGAAAAACACTTCCATGACTGTTTACAAAAGCGAGCAGCCACTATTTATATGCAAAAGATCATATGATTGCTGGTTTAGCTTGGAAATACCACAGATTTTCACTACAGAGCCAGTCTGAACCAAATAACAATTCAACGACATGGACTTGTGGATTAAGGCGGGAAAATGTACTTAAAGGGACAGTTGACTTCAAAATTTTAATTTACGCACCCATAAGTGGTTCCAAAGCTTTACAAGTTTCTTTTTTTCTGTTGAATAACAACACAAAAACATTTCGAAGAATGTTATGGGTAAAAGGGTAATCATTCACTTCCATAGTAAACTAAATCAATAAATATTATGGAAGTCAATGGCTACTGTTTGCAAACATTCTTCAAAACACCTTTTTTTTGTTGTTGTTCAACGGAAGAAAGAAACTCAAACAGGTTTGGAAGCAGTGGATGGTGCATAAATGATGACAGAATTTTAATTTTTGGGTAAACTGTCCCTTTATTTACGATGATATATGATTTTATCGCCTGAGCAAGTGGGACAGTTATTAAGACATTAAATATCTAGTGGCTTTCCAAGAAAGTCCAAATTGCTACGGGGTACAGACCTGAACGTTTCCTTAATGAGAAATAAATAACATAAATATACAACACACTTTTTTTTCTCTTTGGTTGGGGTACAGAAATATTTATAATCAGACAAAATAAAATGATGGAGGAGTTACGCATCTGTCAATGATATACCCACATCTCAAAGTCTCTCCTGTCAGGTTTGTTTGGGTTTGGCTCCATCTGCTGTCTGTCTGCAGGAGAGCTGTGTGTCCTGGTTGGCTCAGTCTGGTGTGCGTGTGTTTGTGTGTGTGTGTGTGTGTGTGTTCTGTAGGTTCTGCTTCAGATCCTGCTGGTTGGTCGGCAGCAGTAAGCACAGCTCCTGAGACTGTCCCGATCAGCACTGCCTCGACGGCCGTCCACACTGGGAGAGCCTGAACATGAAGAGGTGAACATGAACAGATACAGGGACTCCCCTAGCTGTTATGGATTCACAATAAATCATGGTTTAATGAGGCTTATTGTTTTTATGAAACAATTCATACAATTGAAGTCAGAATTATTAGCGCTTCTGTGTTATTAGGCCCTGTATATTTGTTTAATTTCTATTTAATGGAGAGCAGATTTTTTCAACACATTTATAACATAATAGTTTTAATAATTCATTTATAATAACTGATTTATTTTATCTTTGCCATGATGACAGTAAATAATATTTTACTAGATATCAAGACACTATATTCGACTTAAAGTGCAATTTAAAGGCTTAACTGGGTTAATTAGGCAGGTTAGGGTAATTAGGCAAGTCATTGTATGATAGTGATTTGTTCTGTAGACTATCAAAAAATGTTTATTGCTTAACGGGGCTAATAATATTGACCTTAAAATGGTTTTGAAAAAATAAAATATGCTTTTATTCTTTATTCTAAATAAGACTTTCTCCAGAAGAAAAAAATATGATGGAAAATACTGTGAAATTCTTGCTTTGTTAAACATTCCTTGCTGTTAAATATTTCCATTTGGGAAATGTTTGAAAAAGACAAAATAATTCAGAGGAGGGCTGATAATTCTGACTTCAACTGTGTGTAGCAAGGTTTTATTTAAAAAAGGCAAATATATTTGACTGAACTGATAGCAGAAAGGCTGCCAAACAACAGTTACAAGTGAACGTTTGTAGAGTGTTTTACAACAGCTTTGAATGCTGCTCAACCAATCAGAATCCAAAGGATGGAAGTAAATCAGTTTTATACATTTTTTTTTTAGCACAGTGTCTTTGTTTTTGGGATAAACACAATGTCACAACTCTAGTCTCTTCCTGGTTTGGTTTACCGGGACACATAATAGCAGTTAAATACAAAAAAAAATGCAAATTTTCATATAAAATAAGATAATAAAAAAATTTATTAAATATCATATTATATCAGTATTTATAAATCTAATAACATAACATATAAACATATGAAACAAAATAGCTGACATAAAATTCAAATGTAAAAAATCAAAATTAAAAAAAAAGAATTAAAAAACAAAAATAACAAGAGCACAGATTTTTTTCTCAGAAAATATATAAACAACAAATATATGAAAAATACACTTAATTTCATATACATATATTTATATTTTTATTAAAGTATAAATCAATTAATGCTAAAATAATAAAATAACACTGATTTAACTGATTTTATTTTATTTTTTACATTTTTTAAGGCGTTACTCCCAGTGTTGGGGAAAGTTACTTTAGAAAGTAATGCATTACAATTTTGGGCTTTGGCGCGTTTTGCACTCACACTACAAACATACCGCGCCAAAGCCCAAGTGAACCGCGCTCAGGCCCACCTCCTTCAACCGGGCCAGGGCCGGCCAAGTGAAAAATGCTTGAGCCCGATTCAGCACACTCACACTTCTCAAACGATCCGGGAAACGGGCCTGGGCACGGTACGGATGGCATAGTGTGAGTAGGCCCTCAGTTACTTTTTATTATCTGGCTGAGGCTTGATCTCTTTCAGAGCTTGTTTTTTTTTTTCTTTCTTTTTAATAGAGGAGATCTGCAATTAACAACGCACTGTATAACATTTATTAACCTTTAAAAACATATAAAAATATATTATTTTAGGACAGTGTTGTCTGGGAGCAGTAGGTAGTGCAGTCGCCTCACAGAAAGAAGGTCGCTGGTTCGAACCTCGGTTCAGTTGGTGTTTCTGTGTGGAGTTTGTATGTTCTCCCTGCGTTCACGTGGGTTTCCTCCGGGTGCTCCGGTTTCCCCCACAGTCCAAAGACATGCGGTAGAGGGGAACAGGGTAGGCTAAATTGTCCGTTGTGTATGAGTGTGTGTGTGTGTGTGTGTGTGTGTGTGTGGATGTTTCCAAGAGATGGGTTGCAGCTGGAAGGGCATCCGCTGCGTAAAAACTTGCTGGATAAGTTTGCGGTTCATTCCGCTGTGGTGACCCCGGATTAATTTCGTATATACAGATTATTGGAAAATGTTTACTACTTTTATACTATTTTGTTGGTAAAACCACTGTCCATTGAGACAATCCCCTTTTCCTTTTCTTCAATGTGTTCAAAATAATGAACACATTCTCTCATTGACTGCATGATTTATTATGACGATTTTAATTTTAATTCAGCAATTTATTGTTAAAAAGCTAATTAATTAAACTAAAAAGTAACTCACATTACAATTAAAAAAAAGAACTCAAATATCAATACTTATTTTTAAAAAGTAATGTGTTACTTTACTCGTTACTTTAAAAGGTAATATTATTACGTAACTCGCATTACTTGTAAAGCGTTACCCCCAACACTGGATACTGAAGGCAAAAACTGTTTGTTATACACCTGTCAATTTTAAGATTTTTGGCTTTTTTTTTTTTTTTTTTTGCTTTTCATAAAGAGTTATTTTTTAAAGAACCTATAGCTGTTAGCAGTATTTTCTTAATTATGGATTAATAAAAACATTAATATGATGCGCATTCCCCTTGTGAAAAGACTCTAATATATAAAAAAAAATAAGTTATGTTTCTCCAGTGCTAGAGACGTGTGCAAAGTAGTGCTTATTTAATGACACAGTTCCTCATTTGCATATATAAACATATTAATATACAGAACTTGTAAGACAAAATAATGTTTGCAAATCTTAACTATAAACTATGGAAATATGCTCATAACTGAGTTCATTGTTTTACCTTCTTCACATGCAGTGTCTTGTCTTACTATGACAGTGATTGGAGACTGCTGTGAATCGTACCGTTCTCCTCCTCCTCCTCCTCTTCCTCCTCCTCCTCATCCCGCTGGTCGAGCTCTTTGGCGGGCAGCAGCAGGTGTCTGTACGGGCTGGTGCTGGTGATTTGGCTCGGACCCTCGAGGCTGGTGCTCAGCTGCAGTCTCCGCATGTGTCTGACCACTGCTGTCGCATTGAAGGCTTGCTTCAAGGACAAGAACAGACAATAACGGCCTTACAAAGAGGTTTGCAAGCATCTTCAGAAACAATTACTGAAAGATTAATCAGAAAAAATTAATTCTGTATGTATGTATGTATGTATGTATGTATGTATGTATGTATGTAAAGTGCTCAGCATATACGAGTACACCCCTCACAAATCTCTCATTTAAATTAATATATTCTATAGGATGCTTTACAATATTATATTTGTACATATACATTAGTTTAGTCATTACTGAAGCCAAATTTGGAATTTATTGGAGACGGCAGCCACAGGACAACGGTGCCAGTGCGCTCACCACACACTAGCTAGGTGGAGATGCCATGTTGAGATGGTGATAGAGCCAATTCGATGGAAGGGGATGATTGGGAGGCCATGATCAGAAGGGCCAATTGAGGGACTTTGGCCAGGACACAGGGGTTACACCCCTACTCTTTTACGAGAAGTGCCATGGGATTTTTAATGACCACAGAGAGTAAGGACCTCGGTTTAACGTCTCATTCGAAAGACGGCATACTACTCCAGATTTCTGACTATAAGCATATTTAAAAATATTCCACAGAGACTGCTCGTGTTTATAATAAGTTATTCTGGTTAAACAAAGTAGCAAATGATGTGGGATTCGTACCTTCCATTTACTTTTAGCAAAGTTCTTCTTGATCTGAGCACTGACAGATTCATGAATGTTCTTATCCAGCGCTGTGTCTCCAGAGATCCTTCAAAAAACACAGATGGACCATGGGTTAATAATGCAATTTTAGTAATATTATAAAGGAAATTAAGGAAAAATTGGCATGCGATGATTCTGAGGTGATCCTACCATGGGTGCAGTAAAGCCTGTTCACACGTGTATCTCAGAGACGGATCTTTCTCCATCAAGTGACTGATGAAGTCCTTGGCTGAGATGGGATGGGATTGACAACATCAAATGACAATTTATGCATCCAAAGAAATAGAAAATATCCATAACAGAGCTCAACAGTAGTTTAATTAATCGTGTTGTAGTGCATGAAAAAAATCTGCTCAACATTAAAATCTGCTTTTCAGCTATAAAGGTTTTTATAAAAAAAAAAAAAGAAAAAAAAAATATATATATATATATATATATATATATATATATATTTAAATATATTAAAATAAATATATTTTATAAAAAAATTCTTTGATAGAAGATATTTTCATATTATTGTTATTATTGCATGAGTGAAGCAGTACCTGAATCAGAGATATCGTCCCAGTACGGAGAGTCAAACTCATACTCTGCTTTTAAGATCTGCTCGAACAGCTTGGCATCATTTTCATCATAAAATGGGGGGTAGCCACATAAACTGTGAAACAAAAAGCAGTTTATTACCAATTAACTACATAAATTATACATCGATTAAATCATACATTTTTATTTAGATTAAATGATTATGTGAAATTAGAGGATTAGTTCAGCCTACAATATTATTACTAATCCTTATGTTGTTCCAAACCACAGAGACCTTCGTCCATTTCAAAACACAAATCAAGATATTATGGATGAAATCTGAGAGCTCCCACATCCTCCATAGTCCAGAAAGGTACACAAAAACACCCTCAAAATAGACCATATGCCTTCAGTGATGCAATCTAAATATTATGAAGCTAGGAGAAAACTTGTGGGTACATAAAGCAAAGATAATGACCTAACTACATGCGACACAACGCTGCAATACTCAATAAAAGGTATCTTTTCTTTTATGTTAATAGGAGTTTCTGAACTAACCAACAGCAACGTGCAAATGTTTTATTTTAAAAACAGTTTCTATTTCTGCGACGTCAAGGATGAACAGCAATATAAAATACTGACAATGATCCCCTCAGGTGCTGATTATGTGCTTTATTCAGTGCCAGATATTACTGACTACTATTTTACCCGATATGTATTGCCATACTGAAAGCAGAAGTGGAAAATGTAACTCAGATCTTTAAAATAAAATAATTAGCAAACATATTTTGAAAATGAACATTTGAACTGTGATTCAGCATGTACTTTAATAATCATTAAGATTTGTTAATTAGATTTTAAGCCTTATTTCGTGGGGGCACAGTGCAATTTTCTGCGCTTCTGAATGGCTTTGGCATTTAAATGTTTCTGTTATGTTGCGACTGGTGTGAACAGATTGCTTGAATCTTGCTGGAATCTTGTTGCATTGCAACAAGTCAGGACATGTTATGATAATTAATTTTCTCATTTTAAAATACAGTAGAACAATTCAATCTTAAACAAATGATTGTAACACAACTTAATATAATATTTAACTATAGCAGTTAGAGAATTTCAATCAACAATTGAACAATGTAATAATTCAACAGTTTCTTCTCCTTAGTGTCAATATATTTTGCAAATTCACAAACTGTGCAGTGATGTACTGTATACTCTAGATCAGAGTTTCTCAAAGTGGGGGTCGGGACCCCCCGAGGGGTCGCGGGACAATGAAGGGGGGTCGCCTGGTGATTTTCAAAAATCAATTAATTTTTATTAAACCTTAAGACTTACTGTATTTTATCAATAACCTACTGATGAGAAAGAATAGTTGTTTATAGTTACTATAAACTATAAAATTACTATAGTAGCTTATAGTTACTAGTTCTATTGGATTGCGACTTCTCGGGTAATTACATTATACTAAAGACACAGCAATACTGTCAGATGCAGCAGATTTTGTAACACCAGGTTAAACTTTCTAGCCCATTTACAGCACTGACATACATAAAAAAAACAAAGAATAGACTTGGGTCTATTGGTGTGTGTGTGCGCGCGTCATTGCATACAAGGTTTCTGTATTTATAACCACCACCTCAGAGAATATTGGGGGTCACGAGTCACTGACATTCTCATTTTAGGGGTCGCGGGCTGAAAAGTTTGGGAACCCCTGCTCTAGATGCCTGGAGTACATTCGGGATATACTCTAGAAGCAAAACTGATGAAGAGCGCATCGCTCTTGTGAACGAGCGCCCTATACTGACACTGAGGAGAAGAAACTATTAAATATTTTTGGTTTATGTGTGGAGCATAATAATAATAATAATAATAACTTGACTTCTAGTTGGTTATTTGGTAAAGTGCCAGAAGGTAGAGTTTTCTGATGAATCATCTGTTGAACTGCATCCCAATCATCACAAATACTGCAGAAGACCTATTGAAACCCGTATGGACCCAAAATATTCACAGAAATTAGTCAAGTTTGGTGAAGGAAAAATCATGGTTTGGGGTTACATTCAGTATGGGGACGTGCAAGAGATCTGCAGAGTGAATGGAAACATCAACAGCCTGAGGTATCAAGACAATAGTGCTGCCAATTACATTACAAACCACAGGAGAGGTCAAATTCTTCAACAAGATAGCGCTCCTTCCCATACTTCAGCCTCCACATCAAAGCGTGTCTGGGGTAAAATGAAGGAAGAGGCATTGAAGATGAATTCAAAGAATCTTGATGAACTCTGGGAGTCCTGCAAAAACGCTTTCTTTGCCATTCCAGATGACTTTATTAATAAGTTATCTGAGTCATTGCAGAGATGTATGGATGCAGTCGTCCAAGCTCATGGGAGTCATACAGCATATTAATTCTGCTTGCACTGCACCATGACTTCATATTCTACACTGGACATTATTTCTGTTAGGTAACAAGACTTTTGTCTAAGCACAGTCAGACCTTACCGTCCTAATGAAATAATTACAAATCAAGGCATGATCATATTTTATTTTGGTAAAATAAGAATAATCTAGAGGCATTTGCCTTTCATATAAGCCACTTCTGATACCAATTCATCAACTATAAGTCAAGTTATTATTTGTTGTTCATAAAACTTGGATTGGCAACAGAATTTCTGTCAAGTATTGTATATAGCTTCATAATATTCAGATTGAACCACTTAAGTCACATGGACTGTTTTGAGGAGGTTTCTTGGTATTTATCTAGACTTTGAATGAGTTGGAAACATTGCTGTCTATAGAGAATGACCTAACATAACTTAATTTGTGTTCTGAAGACGATCGAAGGTCTCTTTGGAAGGACATAATGGTGAGTAATTATTGTGTTATGTTTTCATTTTTGAGTGAACTAACCCTTAATATTTTTATTTCATGACCATCAATTAATTAATTTAGATGACTATCAAGAAATACTTACAGGATATAAGAAATGACTCCTATGGACCAACAGTCTACAGCTTTACTGTATGGTTTCTGTGCCAAGACCTCTGGAGCTGATTGAGAGAGCGGGAGAAAAGCTTTCAGTGCTCTATATTTGTTCCCTTTTCCTTTGGAGCTTTGTAAAGACTGCATTAAAGAGCCACTTTAAAAAAGGAAACACTTGACACTGTGCAGCATTTCAAACAACTAAGCGCTGCTAAAAACAGAAATGTTAACGGCCAAACTTTAAAGATGATAAAATCGAAAAAGCCACATTCATACCCACGTATCCAGGCGTTCCGCAGGCAGTGGACATCACACTCCCAGAGTCCTCGATCTTGGACAGGCCAAAGTCACTGATCATGATATTCGAATCCTCCTCCATACTGTAATACAGCAGATTCTCCGGCTGCACACAAAGAGGATTTATTTATCTCAGCTCTGAAACTCTGATTCTTCTTTATAACATCAAATCAAGTCTTACTGAAATTAAAATACTTGTGTTTAGATGTTAGTATCCAACCCAGGCTCATTCTGATTACGTACCCCTATATATTTATGGAGAGAGCAAAATACGCCCCAGGAGCTTGATTTTTTTTTTTTTTTTTTTTAGTTTTCTTCTGTTTTAGTTTTTTGTTTATTTTTGCAGTTTTTTTTTGCAGTTTTCTTTTGTTTTTTTTTTTTTGTTTTTGTTTTCCCCAAATCAAAAAGAAGCTGCTTTGTATGCTTTTTAAGATCTCAAATTTCTCTCGTGAGTGCCATTCGAGCCTGCTCTTCTCGTATAAATCTACCAGAGACCGACTTAAGCTTAAACTATTGTCCAATGCGATTCTTAAAAGAAGACAACAATAAAGATTATGTAATATAATATAGAGCAATTAACAAGTAGCAAAAACATAGCATATTCATGAAATAGTTTACCAAAAAAATTTAATATTCTCTCCCTCAAATGATTACAAAACTTTATAAGTTTGTTTTTTCTGTTGAAATCAAAAGAAGATATTTTGAAAAATGCTTGAAATTGTTAATCGTTGACTTCCATCAAATAAACCAGTTGAAATTGAAATTTAGAACTGTGAAATAATGCAAGCCAGCACATATCAGTGATTCAGCATGTACATTTAATAATGTTAAACAGGTTTAATATGTAATAGTTAAATTAGAAACCTTACATTTCATTGGAGTGCACTATTCTGTGCATCTGAATGGCTCTATTTAAATTTCTGTTGTGTTTCATCTGGAGCAAACAACCAAATTGCTTATCACTGCAAATCTCATCACATAGCTTGTTGTTAGGACACGCAGTTACAATATAACCTGCTCACCTAACATTCACGTCCATAATATTTAGATTATTTGCTAATTAATAACCTCACGTGGAACTCTGAATCTGCATCTCATTTCGGGATCTGCTTCTGTCTCTCGGAAATCACATTTTGCTCACAGACGCATTCTTTAAGAGCCTTTCTGAATGAATGAATGAATGAATGAAATATGTGGTTTTCCACCAAGGCAACCCGGAGTGCAGAAATATAATTGGCTAAACCGGCATTGGGCGGGTTAAGCCTAGTTCACACTACAGGATTTTAAACATCAGCAGATCGCTGTGCCGTTCACACTACATGACTTGACTTTGTGTCTTTTGATCTCTGTGGTGTTCACACTACGCAACACTCTGTGAACGATCCACAAGAGGGGGGTCACACACTACATGATCTGACAACAACTCATTCCCCATCAGCTCATTCAAGCTACCAAACCACAGCCAATGAAAATTTGAGGGAGTTCAGAAAAAAGCTGAACACTATTGGCTGCTTGTGTGCTGATTACATCACTGACAGCTTTTCAAGCTTTGGAGAAAGCATTTAAAAACATCGTCAAATCAGCTGATTTATGAGCGGATTAATCACTCATCTGCAAGGTTCCAGTGGATAGATACACAGAGAGTTTTCAATTTTTGTAATTTTATAACTCTTTGAAATAAAACTAACAAATAACACCCTGCCGTTTTCTAACTATCAGTGTATTTCTTTCTGACATTGTTATTTTTTTTTATTACAAAACAGTAAAGAACTGAGCATTTCTGCCTTAAATTACCATATTGGTCAAAATGACTGCATGCATGTCTGATACTTTTCGCTGTGACTTTAAATATGTGTGCATTTTCTTGCCTAGCAACTTCCTGCTAACATAAACAAAACTTTCTGATGGCAAAAACATCAATTTACTTCAGATATCTTTCAAAACAGCAGATTCTGTGCTGTTAAATAGCTCCTGTTTGAAAGTGAAAATGAAAGCCAAGCCTTTAAGTGTTTTAGTATCTTAACTACATATTTATAGGCTGTATTACCAAAAAAATATTATATTTTTAGGGTAATGGTGTCATTAAATATGATGCCAGACATTCAAAGCTTAATTTTAATATCTCAATAATAGCTTTGAATGTAAATATGTTGTGACAATATGGCGTTTCATATGAGAACGATCAGAATGAGCAGTATGGTAATTCTAATAGTTACAGAATTCTAGTTCCACTGTTAATATAGCCTACTCTCATGTCTGTGCTAACGCAGAATGAAGCGAGTGCACTGATGCCCATTCTGACCAATCACAGATGTTTCTGCTGAGCTCCTGAACACACAGCCATTCAGCTCATGCTGATATGCTCTCTCATTGGCTGTAGCTCGTCACTACATCTGACCACACGTGGGGTTGAGTCGGCCGACTGCTCTGGAATATTTAGCATGCTGAATGTAGGATTTCCGTCTGCGAGGTGTCGGCGACGCGTCAGCGAGCCTCGTTGATGCGTTGCTCAGTAGTTCACACATAAAGAGCGGCGAGCGCCGAGCACCCGCAGATTTCTTCCCGATCACAGCCCGATCTGTCGGCGAGCTCGTTAACTTCCAAATCGGGCTCAAATCAGGCTTAAAATCCTCTAGTGTGAACTAGGCATTAAAAGAACCAAAACAAAGACAGCCGTTCTGGCACATAATTCACATATTCAAAGCAGAATATTTGACTTCAGCATTGTTTTTCAGATAAACAAGAATGTTCACTTGGCATATTTCTTAGATATCTGCAAACATTATTTTTTTCTATGTTTTAGAAGAGTCAAAAATGTTCATACAGCACCTTTAAAATAAAAAAGGTTAGTAACTATTAAATGATGAGGTCAGTTATTTAGCAATATCATGTACTGGTTTGAATGATGTGTACTCATTAATAATAAAACGGACACTAAAGGCAGTATACAATATGCAGTGAGCCATCCATTAGTTATACATTCCAAACACAGTCTATTTCTGTCATGTTGCTCAGCATCGCCTACTGTTAAACCTCATCCATCTGAGCTGAATATTAAACATTAAATACTTTCTTATTGGCAGCGACTTTGTCCCTCGGTGGCAGCATTTGGCTTTCAGTGAGGGCAGAAAAATATTGCATGCTGAATAATTTGTCACATTACATCTGGTTAGAAAAGCTGAGTGTGATTATATGGGAAGAATATGTAAGTGTTACCTTCAGGTCTCTGTGTACGATGCCCATATCATGCAGATACTTCACTGCATCTAATATCTGACGGATGAGTTTGCTGGCATCTCTCTCAGTGTAGAAACCCTTTTCAACAATCCTGTCGAAGAGCTCTCCTCCTGATACTCTATAAAGAGATACGCAATAAAAAAAAACTACAGTTAGCACATTTACTAAAATGACATTTCAAACAATAGAAATGTTCAATTGTTTCTAGTCCAAATATTAAAAAATTCTAAAGCCAAGAAGCATTTCTTGTTTTACTTCTTGTTTTCTAAATTAATATTCAGTCAAAATTAAGTCAAAACAAGCTAAATAATCTACCAATGGGGTAAACAAAATAATCCTGTTTATATTTGAAATAAGATTTTTCTTGTCTTATTGGCAGATTATTTTGCTTGTTTTAAGGAAAAACTGACTTAATATTGACATGGGACCCTATTATACACCCAGTGCAATAAGACACAAGACGTGTATAACGCGATTTGTTGCTATTTTCAGACCAGCGCAACCCTAATTTTCACATTTTGTGCCATGTTGTTTAAATAGCAAATCTGTTTGCGCCACTTTGTTGACTCATGGGTATTCCTGTCTATAAAAGAGGCGCATTATTATGCTGTTTTGAGAAAGTGAACAGACTGCGCAATTAAACAACTAAAAGCAGGTCCAAAGTCCAGAGGAGAGCGTGTTAGTTATACACCTATACATGTCCAAAGCGCTCACACATTGCTTAATACACACAGGATGTACAGCAATACACAAATATCTTTACATATGAAAACAATTAAAGGATTAAAATGTTACAAAAATTATTATTTTCTACATAAATATAAATTCATGACTTGCTTTTGTATAATGTTACTATTATTAGCAGTGTATTATTATTATATGCATATTTATATTTGTTTTAATAAAAACAAGTTTGAAATTGTCCCCCTGTTGAGTTTTGGACCACATGTGACATAGAGCCTCCTTTCCACTGCACACGACAAGCGACAGACTAGAAGTCAATTATTTTCATTAGAGAGTAGTCCAGGAGCTGCGTGGAGTTGTGATCAACTCCGTATGTGGAAAATTCAGATTCAAATTCAAACTGTGGATCCGTTGAAATATTTGAACTCCTGCAACAAGACCGTATGCTACCTGCCGACCGGATGTAATGTATTCCAGTGTTTCACAAGCAGGCGCGTGAGATGAGAAATAGGACTTTTTTTTTCGTTATTTTTTTAATAAGAAAAAGGTCTATGTTAAAAAAAAAAACGGTTCTATTCATCATTCAATAATACAAAATATGATTTTTTATGTTGTCTTCAAATCCCCTTCTAAATTTTTAGCGGTCTATGCGTTTCTAGTTTTTATTCATTCATCTATTCAATCATGGTAAACGCACAGAGAATAAAGGCACTTTTTGCACTTTATTTCGGACACCACGAGAATTTAGCTACTCTCCCATGGTGCACGACAACACAGAAAATTCTGTGCGACTGCCACAAGGGGGCGTACTGCGACAGTCATGTCCAAAAGTGCAGTAGAAAGGCAGCGTAAGAATTGCATGTGTGTTTGGATAGCCTATAACTTATTATTTTTCATTTATTTGTTTGCTGGAAATTAGAACTGATTTTAGAAATAGTTTTAAAACAAATATTTGCGCTTAAGAAACAAAATTAAATATGTAGGCTATTGGGTGTCTTTAACAGAGCCCTTACAACACGTTCCCTTATCCATGAAAGTAAAGGAGTAAAGTAAACAGTAAAAGTAACGAGAAAGTAAAGAGGCTGACTGGAAGTGGCTCGTTCTTTATCTTCGCTCTGTAGATGGTCTGTTTAACTGTTTTCTTCTCACTAGTGAAGCGTTCAGTTTTCCGCTTATGATTCTGCCATGTAAATAGCAAATGCGCCATGGCATGACACAACTGACTCTTAAAGTAAATGTAAGATAAGTCTCTGATTGGTTTAATGCACGTTATGCTCAAAACACACCCATAACTCATTAAGAGAATAAGCACAGGCCTGTTAGACCATCCGTCACGGTGCAGATATTTTTCCGTCCTTGAAACAGCAAAAGTGAATTCGGACACACCCTTATTGCATTTGCGCCATGCACTTTTTTTTAGCCTACAAGCAAATGGACTTGCTATTGAAACCATGTGGCACAAAATTACCATTTCACATGTGAAAATTAGGGTTGCATTTGTCTGAAAACAAAAATTGTGCCTTATTGTGCCGTGTGTATGATAGAGCCCTTGGATTTTAATACCAGATTTAAACGGGGAAATAGAAAGGAAAGTCACTGTGGTTGATGTGATCTTAATGTGCTGAAAAATGTAAACTCACAATTGCATGACCAGATACAAATGTGACTGACTCTCGAAGATGTCCTCCAGGGAAACAATATTCTCATGTTTTATTCTGAAAAGGAAAAAAAAAACAATGATTAGAACATAATTCTAGCCTCAGACAATCGTTACTGAAATCTACTTGTAATTTCAGAGTAAAAACTCTTTTCAGTGTATTTTCAGTGTATTTTCTGCAGAAAATGTTCAACTTTTTATTTCTTGTATGGTTCAGAACGGACAATCTGCAAATTCTACATTGTGTTCATTTATCATTGATTATGTAATAATAGTATTTTTTAAAATAGCATTTATTTGTGCCTTAGTCATTTTCAATACTTTTAAAAATTTCTTTATATCATTAATGGACTTTTATATCAGTTTTATGTTTAATATTTTTTTCTATTTTATTGTAATCTATTTATTTCAGGTATAACTGCCATGAAAACATTCTTCAGTTCTACACTGAAAAAATATTTCTGCAAAATTGTTGCAAACATTTTATTTGTGTTGAATTTAAACAAACAAATTAAATTTGGTACTGTTTAGTACTCAATTTGTTTATTTAAATTCAGCCCAAATAAATTGTTTACAACAACTTAAAAAATGTAGTAAATCAAAGAAATAATTTTTGTGTCTTTTTTGTATTTTTAATTTAAGGTTTGGTTTAATTTTAAACACACACAAAGAATGTATATCATCTACTAAAATATTGTTCATCTAATAGTTTTATTTCACTTCATTTTATAACATCCTGTAAACTATTTTAATAATATTAGCTAATACAAAAAAAAAAAACACAACTGAAATGAACTGTAAATGCCCTGAATGTTGATTCGCTAATAGTTAAAGCTGCAACATGAATGAGATATAAACTATTATAATCTATCTGAGAGCAAATCATGACTCGTGTGCTGCAATTTTGAGCTCAAGTTTAAATTTACAACATTTTATCACAAACCAATTGGCAATCACAAGAACTGTCCAAAAAAATTTGCTATTACGCTTTTGCCCAAATTGCAACACTTTCCTGCTTTCCTTCATTATTTCCTATATTTTACTTAACTTTCTCTGTTTTTATGCACATTCACAGGCTAGCCTGTGAATTGCTATTTGAAATGTAGCGATTTGCTAATAGCAAAAGCTGTGATATGAATGCATTATAAATACATTGGTAACACTTTATAGGGGCGATTTTAGGATTTTCATTTTAGGGGGGCCCAGCTCCTTATAAGGTAAAACAAAATGTGTGTGTGTGTGTGTGTGTGTGTGTGCGCATGCGTGTGCGTGTGCATGTGTGTATATAATATATATATATTGTTTCATGTGGGTTGTATACTAGTATTCCACTGTATTACATAGACAGGCATAGTCAGTAAGCCAAATAGGCTCAACCCACCTGTAGTAAAAACCGGTTTTATGCAAAAGTTTGGGCCTTGGCTGCATAGTTATGTGCTCTTTTTATATGAGAGAAGATCACATCGATATGCCATTCGGTTTCGATAAAAAACTAGATGATGTTATGCTTTTCAGACAGAAATACGTAGCACAGGCACTAGAAACCTTGTCCGAGTTTAAGATCGCGTATGTTCCACCCAGGATCAGCAGATTCTGAAGAACAATGTTGAGGAATCAGTCAAGAGGCAGGGTTGGATGTTTCAGCAGGACAATGACCCACAAGCACAGTTCCAGATCTACCAAGGAATTCATGCTCAGACATGATACAATGCACTAGAATTACCATCCCAGTCCAGACTTGAATATCATCGAAAATCTGTGGATTGATTTGAAAAGGGCTGTCCACGCCCAGCACACATCAAACCTGACTGAACTGGAGGAATTTTGCAGAATGATCTAAAATGCCTTCAGCGAGAATTCAGGGACTTATCCTTGACTATAAGAAGCGCCTACAGGCTGTTATTTCAGCATAAGGTGGCTGTACAAAAGATTGATGTCATTATTCTGACATTTTTGGACCTGTCTGTTTATGTTATGGTTTAGATTGCATTGCATCTGTTGATTAAACAAATGTTATATCAGAACTGAAATGTAACTTTTTCCCTAGGGTATACAATATATCCAAATGAAGTTTCTAATTTGAAAAGCCAGCAGGCTATGGCTTGCAATTCTGAAAATTGTCAGGGGTGCCCGAATTTTTGCATAAAACTGCACATTAATTAATGAAACCTTATTGTAAAGTGTGACCAAAATATTATACTCTATGCGAGAGCAAATCCACGACTCTCCTTTTTGTGTGTGCTGCATTATTGAGCTCAAGCTTGACTTTACAAAATTAAATGGCAAATTAAATCGCATTTCCAATATCTGTCAAAAATAAATCACAATACTTCAATACGTTCCTTTCTTATTCCCTATATTTTACTGGGCTATCTCTGTCTGGCTATTCACTGGCAAGCCAAAATGATTCATCAAAATTTTCTCAAAAACACTATTAGAAGCTCGACAAAATATAATCACAATCACAATATGTAAAAGAAATTGCTATTAGGAATTTTACCCAAATCGCAATACTTTAAATCTTTCCTTCCTTTATTCCCTATGTTTACTGCGCTTTCTCTGTCTCTATGCACATTCACTGGCTAGACAAATAAAACATTCTTCTTCATCTCCATTTGACTTTCACTCCTTTGGTTTCCTGCATTCAATTTGATTACAGTCTTTCACACTAATGCTGGAATTTTCTCCCTCTCTCCCTCTCTCTCTCCCTCTCTCTCTCTCTCTCTCTATTAATTCTCGTCTTGTATTCATCCTCTTTGGTCTCTCTCTTTCTCAATAGTGCTGCGGGGAACCTCCACAGCATCCCAGCCTGTGTGTGTTGTAGCCCTGGCAACAGAGTCACTAAAAATAGGCCTATCTCCAGTACTCTTGACATTTCCGGTGCACACTTCTACCATTTCTAAAGCTATAGCACGTCTTTATGGCACAGATCTCATTTACGAGAGCTTTTCTTCTCTCAAAGAGCAATCTGGCTCTTAAGAGAAAAAGGAAGAGACCTTCGGGCATCTTGACTGCCACTTATCCTTAACACTGCCTCACGAATAGTTGGCAGCATTCATCCTGTATTTAAGCGCACATCATGACACGATTACACTGGCTCATATATGGTGCTGGTGTTTGTTGTTGTGTAATCTGTCTGCTTATGCATGGTTTGTGACAAAAAAGTTTGTAATTTTATATTGTGGTTCATTGGAGTCATTTGCTTGTTTGTTGTCTTCACTTGTGTTAATGATGTCTGAGTTGAACCTATTAAACTATACTGTTAGCCAATGTTAGTTAACATTTCTGTTAACCATACTAGACATAATATAATTTACAAGAAAACTGTTTTTAGTAAAGATGCTGGTAATTTAATTTAATTATTTTTTTTATTTAATTAATTTTTATTTATTCATTCATTTTCTTTTTGGCTTACTCCCTTTATTGATCAAGAGTCGTCACAGCGGAATGAACCACCTAATTTAATTTAATGTAATTTAATTTAATTTTTTTTATTCATTCCTTTTCTTTTTGGCATAGTAGTCCCTTTATTAATCAAGGGTCACCACAGCGGAATGAACAGCCAAATTTTATTTTTTTTTGTACGTAATCTGTTAGATATTATTATTAATCATAGTAAACAATATAATTTACAAGAAAACTGTTTTTTAGTAAAGATGCTGATAATTTAATTAATTAAATTTATTTTCAGCTTAGTCCCTTTATTAATCAAGGGTAGTAGCCAGGGGTAGCCACTTTTTATTTTACTTTTTTTTTTTTTTTTTTTTTTGAAATCTGTAAAACATTGTTGTTAGCCATTGTTAGCTATCATTCTTATTAACCATAGTATACACAATATAATTTACAAGAACTTTTTTTTTTTTTTAAGAAGATGCTGGTCATTTAATTTAATTTCATATTATATTATTATTATTATATTTTTTTATTGAATACATCTTTTTTATTTAATATATATATATATATATATATATATATATATATATATATATATATATATATATATATATATATATATATATATATATATATATATATATATATATATATATATACATATATATATATATTTTTTTTTTAATGTTTTTGGAATCTGTTGAATATTATTTTTAACATTTGTAAGCTAACATTATTATTACCCACACCAACCACAATATAATGTATTATTATTATTATTATTATTTATTTATTTATTTAAAGAAGGTGCTGGTAATTTAATTTTTTTTTTTCTTAATTGAAAGGACACTAAAACCACCAGCAGGTGGCAGCAAGTGGCTGCCTCAATGACTGATTCATTGACTTGTTTATTTAAATGATTCATTCTAAACAGCTGAATCTTCCTACTTCTATTTTTTGTGCTCTTGTACTACATTCATTCATTCATTTTCTTTTCGGCTTAGTGCCTTTATTAATCCGGGGTCACCACAGCGGAATGAACCGCCAACTTATCCAGCACGTTTTTACGCAGTGGATGCCCTTCCAGCTGCAACCCATCTCTGGGAAACATCCACACACAGTCATTCACACTCATACACTACAGACAATTTAGTTTACCCAATTCACCTATACCGCATGTCTTTGGACTGTAGGGGAAACTGGAGCACCCGGAGGAAACCCACGCGAACGCAGGGAGAACATGCAAACTCCACACAGAAATGCCAACTGACCCAGTCTGGACTCGAACCAACCTTCTTGCTGTGAGGCGACAGTACTACCTACTGCACCACTGCGTCGCCCCTCTTGTACTACAAAATTGGGAAAAGATGTGTGCTCTTCCTTCTTTGAAACTGCAGTACAAATGTACATAAATATAAAAACAATTCAGTGTCGCAGTGGGTAGCACATTCGCCTCACTTGTTAGTACCTCCAATAAACACAATTGTTACCTTGTTCAGTACATACATAAACCATGGCCTCTTTAAACCAGTTTTATCCACTATTTGTTATGATGCCATTGATAAGAGTTGGTTCTGACCTGTGTAGCACAGCAATCTCATTCTCGATGCTGTTCTCTTTCCCCTCCAGTGCTTTCTTAGGGATGCATTTAATGGCAACAAGTCGCTGGGTCTTCTTCTCCTCAGCCAGAAACACCTCAGAGAAAGCCCCCCTAGAGGAAAACAAAGATGGAGTTAGTGCTACTGGATATTTAATGTCCACCATTAAACCACACACTGCATTGAGAGGTGAGATAAACCAATATTTGAGCCAGCACTGATTCTTCTCCAATGTAAATGAGTTGATGGTCTCACCGGTGGTCTCTACAATCAACTTCAGCCAAGGTTTAACTATATTGTCAAGTTCATTCATTCATTTTTTTTTCGGCATAGTCCCTTTATTAATCAGGGGTCGCCACAGTGGAATGAACCGCTAACTTATTCAGCTCATGTTTTACACAGCAGATGCCCTTCCAGCTGCAACCCATCACTGGGAAACATCCATACACACTCATTCACACACATACACTACAGACAATTTAGCTTAGCCAATTCACCTACAGCGCATGTCTTTGGACTTGTGGGGGTAACCAGAGCACCGAGAGGAAACCCACGCGAACACATGGAGGACATGCAAACTCAGCCACCTTTTTGCTGTGAGGTGACAGCCCTACGCACTGCACCACTGCACCACCCATAATGGTGGTTATACCTTTGTATTTTACATATGTGTATGTTTTATTATATAACCCTCTAAAAATGCTGTTGTTGTATACTAATGCTGGGTCAAATATCAACAAATGTGTCAGTTGGGTTAAAATGTGAAAAATTAAATTAAATTAAATTAAATTAAATTAAATTAAATTAAATTAAATTAAATTAAATTAAATTAAATTAAATTAAATTAAATTAAATTAAATTAAAATAAATTAAATTAAATTAAATGTTATTTTATTTTATTTTATTTTATTTTATTTTATTTAACCCAGTATTAGGTTTGTCCATATCTAACACAACTTTGGGTTTTGACAACCAAGCATTTTTTGAATAAAGCATATAAATTAAAAAAGCTGAAACAACAAAATTCTTGAGATTTCATTGGGACAAATTATTTTTTTTTATGTTCAATCCTCACAAATTTGTTAAAAGTGTTAAATTAACTTAATCCATTTGTGTTGGGACAACATGAATGAATTGTGTGGAAACCAGCATTTTTTACAGTGATGGATGGATGGATGGATGGATGCAATTTAAAAAAGATTTGTGTTGTAGTACTTCAACGCTGGGTCAAATAAAGTCAACTCCAACAGGAACATTGCGCTCAAACGATTCATTTCAGCTACTTGTTCAAACTTATTTAAAATGAGCTGAAATAACACAATACTTGGGCTTTTAGGGGACAACTTAATTATTTTATGCTCAATCCACTTACATTTGTATAAAACAATTCAGTTTTAACTTAATCGATTTGTGTAGGGGCAACATAAAGCAATTTTGTGGATCCCAACAATTTTTTACAGTGTGAGTTACTTATTTTATTATTGATAATAAGTGCCACATTTTAACGCAACAGTTAGGTTTGTCCATTTTTGGCTCAACATTGGGTTACAACAACCCAGCATTTTTTCGAGTGTGGATGTATATGGAGACTTCAACTGTAGTCTTATGTTAATTTGGGTTTGCTCAGACTAAAATCAACACTATATGGCAGGTACCAATAATAATATTTGATGTTACACTCTAAAAAAAATGTTAGGTTGTTGCAACCTAGCATTGGTAAAATATGGACAAACATTTTCAAATATTGATATATTTTAATGTTGGGTTAAAATATTTTTCTTCGGCTTAGTCTTTTTATTCATAAGGGGTTGCCACAGCAGAATAAACCGCTTACTATTCCAGCATATGTTTTACACAGCGGATGCCCTTCCAACTGCAACCCTGTACTGGGAAACATCCATAAACCATTCACACACAGAAACAACGACTAATTTTGTTTTCCCGATTCACCTATAGCGCAGGTCTTTGGACTGTTGGGGAAACCAGAGCACCTGGAAGAAACCCACGCCAACAGGGGGAGAACATGCAAACTCCACACAGATATGTCAACTGACTCAACCAGGACTTAAAGTTAAAGCAAACCAGCATTTTTATCCTTCAACTCAAAAGAGATATAAACAGAGCTGACACCTTTTCAGTGTACTTTATCTATTATTATTTTGTCTTTGTGTGTTGTTTGCACAGCAGAATTATTATGAATGGTTGATATTTTATCAGGTCAGAGATGAAACAAAGTAGCTCCTCCACTGAGACGCAGGTAGAGCCAGAAAAAGACAAACAGCACACAAGCCATTTTATCAGCCAAGGAACTATTCCGTGTATTTAGGCATCTGTCTGTGTGTGTCCTATTTCCAGCATCCTTTCAGGTATCTACCCTTAGATGTAGACTAAACACATTTATACTCGTTCTCTTCCTTAAACACAAAGGCTGTGTGATAAAACAAGCACTGTCATGTGTAATCTAGCTGTCCCAAACACACACTCCCTAAACTGCCTTCTTAATCACAGAGGGAGCAATTAAACATACAATTTGCCACCAAGGAAAAGAGAAATAAACAAGTCAGACAATAAATGACACCAGAGGAAATGTCTTTTCCTCACTTCAAGGATACCTTTCATATGGAAGCAAAATAGAAATGAGTAATTCAAACATATGATTCTTACTTTTAGGCACGTTTCAAAGCATTCAATTTGTCCTAAATATGAACTAAAATGAGGTGATTTTATATAATAGTCCACCATGAAGTTAAGATTATCAAAATTTAATAAAACTATATCAATGGAACAACATAGAAAACAAAAAGAACTAGAGTTATTATAGTTATACAGTAAGTAGGCCCTCAGGGAATCTGTGCATAGAGAAATCTGCAGATTTTTAGCCAGTGATTAAGTCTATTTATATATATGTTATTCAGTTTTTAAATTAATTTCAGTAATATTATTGACTAATATGAAACTGTTCATATGATTTATTAATCTATTCAGTTTGTAAAGTAATATTTTCTGTCTTTTAGTAGATCTATTATTGTTATGGGCGTCACGGTGGCGCAGTGGGTAGTACGATCGCCTCACAGCAAAAAGGTCGCTAGTTCAATCCTCGGCTGGGTCAGTTGGCATTTCTGCGTGGAGTTAGCATGTGCTCTCGTGTTGGCGTGGGTTTCCTTTGGGTGCTCCCCCACAAGTCCAAAGACATGGACTAGATGTGAATTGGGTAAGTTAAATTGTCCCTAGTGTGTGTGTGTGAATGAGTGTGTATGGATGTTTCCCAGTGATGGGTTCCAGCTGGAAGGGCATGCGTTGCGTAAAACATATGCTGCATAAGTTGGCGGTTCATTCAGCTGTGGCAACCCCTGATTAATAAAGGGACTAAGTTGAAAAGAAAATGAACGAACGAATATTATTGTTATATGTGGGACTCGCTTTGTTTACCAAATAAGTGGATTTAAATGGATTTGCATTGTAAACATAAAAAAGTTTTCAGTTAGGATATTCTCCCAAAATCATTCCGCATAAGTCCATAGATACCGACAAAATTCTGCAGAGAAATAGCAAAAAATGTCTGCAGATTCTGTATGGCCTTCCTTAAAGTCTAACCATTAAACTAATGTAAAAAAAAAAATAAAATTCTTTGTTGAAATAAATGCTATCTAAACATTTTAGTTTGTTGCCAAGAAAAAATCTGATATCTTTTGTACTATTGAAGGGATATTTGACCTAAATATGACAAAAAATCTGTTTTGGTTTATTCACCCTCTCCTTTTTTCAAACCTTTATGAGTTAAAAATGGCTATTTTTAAGAACTGAGTTGAAAGAGAATGATTTCCAGCATTCTTCAAAATATCTTCAACTCAAACAACTCAAAAGTTTTGGGACCGAGTAAATGTTGAGAAAAATGCAATAAATAATTATATAAATAGTATTTATATAAGTGTTTTATTATAAAAATGATTACATATATTTCTGTAAATATGCAAATGGGACATTATTTGTAAAAATTTTTGCTGATTTACAAACATTTCACAAAAATCTGAACATTGGATTAAATCAGGTTCAGAAATCTTGGTTAATTTATAAGACGCGTCAGATTCAAATGATTTATTTTATATATTTTTCATTTATTTACTTATTTATGTATTTTTTAGATAAATAGACACAAATTGATAATGTGTAACAAAAGAAATACTTAAAATTGTAGATGGATATTTAATGTACGTTAAACAAAACAAACAAAAAAAAGATTCATGAAAAAAGCTAATAAGCACAAAATATCAAAACTGATTTAAAAAATGATGTTGCAGAGACAAAAGGAGGTTGGATAAGAAAAGAAAGAAAGAAAGAAAGAAAGGAAGAAAGAAAGAAAGAAAGAAAGAAAGAAAGAAAGAAAGAAAGAAAGAAAGAAAGAAAGAAAGAAAGAAAGAAAGCACAAGCTGTGCTGTTGCTGTGAGACATGGTGTAATTAAGGCCTCCATTGCTTCCTGTGGGGAAAGGAGGAGGAAGAGGAGAGATAGAGAGAGAGAGTGAGAGAGCGAGAGAAAGAGAGAGAGAAAGAGAGAGAGAATGGAGATTAGGGAATGATACAAGACTGCCAGTGTGGGTGTTTGGGTCTGTAAATGCGAAGATTGTTTCACAGAGACATACAGCTAATAGAATGCCTTACATATGATACATGGCTGATAACTACCCACAGTAAAATAGATGAGATATTCTGCTTCACTAGAGATGGCTTCACAATCATACAGAGGCTATGAAGCTCATTTTTTTTGTCTCAATTAAAAGTGGAAACAACAATGATAAAGTATAATGTTAACAATACACTGTTAACATTAGTATTGAAATAATTATTGTAAATAAGAAGACTCTTGATAGTATTTAAAAGCATATTAGTAGATCAGTACTATATTAGTACTTTTTTTGCAAAAATATGTATGAAAATATGTCTAAAGGAAGACACGATTATTATATAATATAATATAATATAATATAATATAATATAATATAATATAATATAATATAATATAATATAATATAATATAAAAATAATTATTTGTTATTTCTAAATGAGCTGTTGGCATGGAATTGAACCAGATTTTGTTAAAAACCCAAACAATACAAA